GCAGCTCAGTGATGGTGGACACGTCTAATCTCCTCGTGTTCTCCGCACCAGGAGAAGCTTCCAGCCTCAGCAGGCGTCAGCTCGCTGTCCCTTTAAGCATCTCAAACAGAGTGCAGTGGGCACCTGAGTACAGCATGAGCCATCAGAGCCAGAAGGCCACTTCACTTCAGCCCTTTACTGCACACTGGATGTGTTTACTTAGTGGATATATGCAGCCCTGCAGAGGCAGTTTGTTTCCTCCTGTGGAGTCTGAATTTACACCTCCTTCTATTTTCCAAACAGCGGGTCAGTTTTCCTGTGGTTTGGGTAATTACTGCAGAGCCCAGGGCTTTTAAAGTGTGTGGAAACACAGCGAGCTCTCCGATCAGCTGACTGCAGCTGGCCAATTGTGATCCACGGTCATAATGAGTGTGGTTATGAAGTTGCCACGGGCAGAAGGGCTAATGGTTACTAATCCACTTCACACAGAGCAACGTCCAACTCTAAAAAGCAGCCAGTGCCGTTACTCACAGGCCCAAACAATCTGCTGCCACAACATGCTACTCCCACAGCTCAGCCTGTGCAGTGAGGCTGTGCTGGCTGCAGGGTAAGGCGCAGTGAAGGAAACCATTCATCTCTTGCTGCAGTTACCTTTGTGTAAAAGCTTCTGTGCCTCACAGGCAGCACTCAGCTGCGATGCGTCGAGGTACCTCCCTGCAATCCCAGGAAGCTACATGCTCCAGGACATTATGGCTTTTATACAACAAGTATGTTTGTTTCCTTCTTTTTGTTTTGGAGGAAACATTACATGCAACAGCAATGACACCACGATGAAGAGGAAACCTGTTCTGTGAGACACCGTCAGCCTGCTCGCTGTCGCTGAGGGGAGAAACGCCTCCGCTTCGTACGGCACGATTAGCAACAGAAAGCACCAACACAGGTGATGCAGACACATGTAGGTCAGGACTTTGACACCATCAGCAGGAAGATACCGACTAACGCAGACGTTTAATCCTCACGCTGCTCGTACCTGTTGCTCGTGAAGCACTATTATCACTGACCCGTCAGTCACTTGGGTCATCATCACGCACAGACTCACAGCAGCCTTCTCACAGAAACATTTGCACCCATTTCGTCAGCTGAATTCACAAAACGATGAAACAGATAAATGAAAGCGCGCTTGCACAAAAGCAGACAACAGCTCGACACCATGTCAGTGAGCACTGCCGAGAATGTTGGATTTAGGTGGTTAAAGTATTTGACCCTGATTACCGACTCCCGGGGCCCGTTCCCACAGCACAGAGATGGTTGTGTCATACGGAGACAGCACTGCGCCTCTCGTCCAATCGTGGCAACAGCTCCATTTTTTAGCATGACATTAATCCCAAACAAATCAACACTGGATGCCTGCATTAAACACTGCAGTGAAAACAGCCGCGGCAGAAGCAACTTCACTCGTCTGTGAACAGTTTGCTGTGACATCCACTAATGCAGAGAAGGAGTCACGTGACCGTGAC